CAGCAAAAAGAGGAGGATTGGCATGGATGTTAGCTCAGGGCTGATCTTCCTCACAAAAAATAAAATAAAATAACTACTGTAAATGGGAGGTAAGACGTTTAAAATCTTTTTATAAAATATTTTGTTCATAGTTTCTGGCAATTACTAATCTGCAATTTAAGTTCTGCAATCCAACCTGTCTACTGTGACCATGACCATGGATCACCATTCAGGGTTCTAATCATAAATTCAGAACCTATCCTCTTAATCCATAATGTATCTGAATATTTTAACAATTTTTAAAACCTTATATATGAGGAAACTTTAAATTGTAAATATAAAATGCAAGAGGCTGGAATTCAGAATATTTCCTTTGATTTATTTTCAATAAAGTCCAGCTTGTTCTTTCTTTGTAGGTATCATAGTGTTAAAATCATCCCATGCAAAAAACTCATGCATTACATAGCAAAACAAACACAATAAAAGTATGGTAACCAATGATCTGATTTCTAGAAACATTATAGATGGTTAATTACATGATTAAGCAAGATGGAGGGAGGCAGCATAACATTTGAAGCAACTGTTGGCAAGATTATTTTTCTCATTCATTCAACAGATATTTATTTAGAACCTACCAAATGTGTACCACTGCACTAGATGCTAAGGAGGATAAAAATGATGCACAAGTTAAGCTTCTCACTCTCAAACAACTTATAGCTGAAGAAACGTGAGAGACTTTTGAGTTAAGTTAAATATGACAAGCTATAATATTACTATGTACTAAAGTGCTGGTGGAATCAACATGATACAAAAGTCTAAAGGAAAGAAATATTACTGTGGATTGGGGTGATCAGATAAGGTTTCACATTGGAGAAGGGTCTTCAGCTGAGCTGAAGGAAGGACATGAATGGGGGAAATGGAGAAATGAGGAAATTTTGGGAGAAGGAAACCAACATACACATACAGAATGAATACATGAAGGATGTAAGTAATATCTGTTTTGAAGTCAGTTAATAGTTTATCAGCCCAACTGGAGTAAAAAATTTAAGTTGGGAATAGTAGGGATAAATATAGAGAGATTCAATGGGGCCAAAACCTACAGAGGCCTTGAATTCCCCCCGATACTCCCTCCCACTTCCTTTTTCCTTTCTCCTTGTTTCTTCTGTCTAGTAGCTACAGTATCTTTGTTTGTTATATTATACTAGATGACCTTCATTATATTTCATGGAACCTCAAAGAGATTAAGAACAAAATTTCTGCACTTTAGACCACTAGTTTCCCATTTGCCATGCCCAGACTCCTGGGATTCCACAAGAGTAGTAGATGGAAATTCAGATATTATTATCAGTATTTCAAAAAGTCAAAACTATCCAGTTACCTACATGAAAGTTATTCAAGCTCAGCAAAATGTCAGGCCTCTTTGTTTGGGGCTGAATTATATTAGCCTAGAATGGTTATCGCAGGCTGATAAGAAACTCTCATTGGAAATAACGTATGTCTAACAAACAATAATGTTCTAACATTTTATTATTTAATATATACCACTTATTTGGTCGACAAAAAGTCTTCTGAAGCATAGTGTCCTGACAAGAAAAATAAAAGGATCACTAGAGGTAGAGAAAGTTAAAGGTACCCCACTCATTTCTTTTCTGACTCCCACTCCAGAAGAGGCATTTGTGAACTTTTTTTCACAGTAGCAATTAGCTCATAAGATTAATTAACTCAATCTTCCAAAGACATAATCTTTGAAATACTTTTAGTTTCATAAATGGATAGTTAACTTCATAAAGAGAAACAAGCACTATTTCAATATACTTGTGGAAGATTAACCTTTTATAAAAACTTTTCTGAAATAATAGATATCAAACTAATCCAAAAACAGACTAAAGCAATTAGATAAACCAATAATAAATATTCAGACAGCTTCCTAAGAGTGAAAGAAATGAAACTTAGTAAAATATTAACAACAAAAAGACAATTTTATTTGACTACATAAATAAATGTTTTAAATATATCATCAAATATTATCAGGATAGTAAGAGGGTAATTTCAATATACTTTAATCTATTAGTTAAAAACATATAGATATATATAAAAGGTTAATGGTAAACAAAACAGAACTCACTTAATTCACCATCTTATAGATTTACTAATTTGTTAGAAATGACTTTTTCTACAAAGTTGACCAGAAGTCACAAAAATGTGGTTATTTACGGCCATGCTGAACATTCAAACACTAAAACATATACCCAGACTGATATTCATAATTCTTTCAATAATCAGCAGCAGAACCAGGGTTAAGTAACCTTAAAACACAACCTAAATTTTAAACAAAGGCTGACCACCTACCTGCAAACAACAGAGAGTCTCCCCATTCCGGCCAGCAGAGTACTTGAACAAAATAAAGATGAACTGAGCAGTAATCAGATAAGACTCAAAAGTCAGAAGATCAATTTCTGGCCCAGAAAGCTTTGTATTCTAAGATACACAGTCTTGAACTGCAGCAGAGTTCCAAATATTTAATGACACCTATGTAAAACCACTGCTTCAATCTTTGAGTTTTGTTATGAGAAGGTTTTTGTTATAAAAGACAAGCTCTATTGTAGTTTAAAGCACATTATTTGTCACTTCCTGGTTTGTCGTATCGCACTCTTTCCAAGGTTGCAGGTCAGAATGCAGAATTGGAAGTTATACCTCACTCTACAGGTTCCTAAGCCACGCCTACTAGAAAAGAGGGTAGGTAAACAGGGTTTTCTTAAAGGGACAGTTCCCAATTTCTTCTGTCCTACACACAGATTAGAAACAATAAAATGCAAATGAAAATATCTTGCTTATGCTCAGTTATGTAAAATGTCTATTGCAATATTATTTTAATCTCATTGTAAAAATTAAATATATTAAGAGTTAAATTTTCTTCTCCATGCTAATACTTTCTATTCAATGGCAATGTCATTATTACTTCTTCATATACCACTTCTTCAGTACTGACGCATTAACCCTCTACAACCATCCAAGATGGTATCTCTTGAGTATTGTAAATGGAATGTCAGGAAACAGCAGGAAGAGTGAGCTATTCAGGTGGAGCAATTCCACCAAGCCCTCAGCACATCTTTCATCACTGAAAAGTTTATATCTCAATTTCTCAACAATTCTTTTTTTGTGCGTGTGTGGTTTTTTTTTTTTTTTTTT